GGGACTCGATTTAGGACATGACATGCTGTCAATATCGCCTCCCCCCATCATGCCTTGGAGAGACCCGATGTGTCTAACATGGCGTTAACCAAATCAGTTAGAGTATGGTTCTTTCTTTCGGCCACCCCATTTGACTGAGGTGAGTAGGGAGGCGTCCTCTCATGGATTATACCATGTTCCGCATAAAAAGCATCAAATTCATTGGAAAAATACTCTCCACCACGGTCGGACCTAAGCCTCTTGATTTTTCGATCAAGTTGGTTTTCCACTTCAGCTTTGTAGATCTTGAAAAAGTTCAAAGCCTCATCCTTAGATTTCAGAAGATACACATGGCAGTATCTAGTGGAGTCGTCAATTAACGTCATGAAATATTTCTTTCCACCTTTAGTCAAAACACCATTCATTTCACATAGATCTGAATGTATAAGTTCTAGTGGTGCAAGATTTCTCGTCTCCGCAGTCACGTGAGACTTACGAGGTTGCTTAGCTTGCACACACACTTGACACTTAGATCCCTTGACAGTGATGAAACTAGGGATTAAGTTCAACTTCGCTTGTCGCGTCATGCAACCAAAGTTAACATGACAAAGACGTGAATGCCACACATTTGATTCACTATTGTTGCAAATATGATTAACAACTTTATTGCAAACGTCTGATAAGGTAAATGGAACAGGCCTCCTGACTCATAGCCTTTACCAACAAAGGTTCCATACTTGGATATTACAAATTTATTCGACTCAAAGACAAGCTTATAGCCATCTCTACACAGAAGAGATCCACTAACAAGATTTTTATTGACGTAGGGGACATAATGCACGTTCTTCAGCCGCACGATCTTCCCCGAAGTAAACTTTAGATCGATCGTGCCAACACCACGAACAGAAGCACTTGAACCGTTGCCCATTAGCATGGTTGAAGTCCCTGCGGTCTGATAAGACGAAAACATGGAAATATCACCGCATACATGCACATTAGCACCCGTGTCAATCAACCAATCAGGAGAATGACATACCAAAAGAATAGTGGGAAATATACCATACCCAGCATCCTTCATGTCAGTGTCTCCAATGACAACATTAGCGGTCTTGCCACCTTTCCCAGGATGACGCTTGTCATAGCGATTGGGGCAACTAGGAGCCCAATGATCAGGATCTCCACACACATGACAAGCACCTTTCTTCTTGTCATTCTTCTTCTTGAAGTTCGTGTGCTGCACAGCCTTGTTCTTCCCATCAAACTTTGCTTTACCATCAAACTTGCCCTTGTTCTTGAACTTGTGGGGCTGGAAGTTCTTCTTTTGTACCAGATTGGCACTAGAACCTCCCTCAATACCTCGAGCACGGTTGTCCTCTGCTCTCGCCTTTTCTTCCACATCAAGAGTACCTATGAGATCCGGAATGGAAAACTCCTGCCTCTTATGCTTCAGTGAGGTAGCAAAGTTCCTTCATGTGGGAGGAAGCTTAGTGATGATACCTCCGGCAATAAACTTGTCCGGTAGGATACAATTGAAGTGCTCAAGTTCTCTAGCAAATGACTTTATCTCATGAGCTTGCTCAACCACGGAGCGCTCTTCAGTCATCCTGTAGTCATAGAATTGCTCCATGATGTACAGCTCAGTGCCAGCATCTGAGACCCCAAACTTGGCCTCGAGTGCATTCCACATATCTTTTCCATTATAAATTGACGCATAAGCATCAACTATGTTCTCACCAAGAACACTCAAGAGAGCAGCCTTAAACAAGGTATCCATTTTCTGAAAAGCTTGTGCCTGTTGGGCATCTTGCTCTCCTTTAGGTTTGCCAAGAGTGGCGTCATAGCAGCTCATGGTCTGAAACCATAAGACTGCTCTCACGCGCCATCTCTTATAGTGGATACCCTCAAACATAGGAGGTCTCATGGAAGCAGCAAAACCACTTGGGGTAAATTGCCTATAATAAGGTTTTTGGATTGTTGGAAATGTGAGCAATTTACCAAATAATTTTGCTAACGGAAATACTAGATAAATCATGACTAAAATAGCAAATATAAAGCAAGTCATGCAATCTGACAGAGAGAAGGTAAACATCGTCTGCATATATGAACTTGAGCTAAACACATCTAGAACAGATACTAGATGAAGTTGCTTATACGACATAGAACCTAACATACGTAGGGCAGAAACTAGAGCCAAGAACTGTAGCAGGACTTCTAACAGAAAGGAGAAGAACACGTACGACACAACAGCAGCAGAAGCGCTGGACTTGGGGTCGGTGTCCTCGCCTGCCATGTCGTCGAGGAGGTCGTGGACGTCAGGGAAGAAGTCGTCGTCGGGGAAGTAGTCGTCGGCGACCGGATCGTCCGTGATGAAACAGCCAGTAGTCGCGCTGAGCGCTCCACAAAAACCTTATCACCCTTCTCCCGTACAGGACTCAAAAGGTGCGGTCTCGGAGGCCTACTGTCCCGACGTGCGATGCACGCCGCAAGTCGGGATGAGGAAGATAGCAGCAGCTCAGAGATGGAACCGATGGCAAGGGAATGAGTAGTTCTGGTGCGTCTCTCTGAGAGGAGCGACCTCCCTTTTATAGGCGCAAGAGAAGGAGGCGAGAGGCTGCGCCGGGAGCTGAAGGGAATGCGGGAGACGAAACAAACAGGCAACAGCCAAAGAGGCGCGCCGTTCGGATTCAGTGTCCACTACAGAAAAATGTTTCAGCTTCCGAGTGACCTTTCATATACCCGTAGTGCGTGGCAAAAATTTAGACATCGGCTCGGCTCATTCCCGCAACCCGCAACCCGCGGCGCGTCGTGACGAGGCGAGGCGAGGCGTGGCGAGGCGGGCAGCGGAGGAGGAGCGCGCGTGGATGTCCCTCTTGTTCTCATGCTCATACAAGTGGGGAAAGAATATGTGGAGCCTATCCTCGGAGGGCTAGTTCGGTGGGCTGAGGGGAGAAGTTAGGCTAGATTAGTGTTCGGCTTTGCTAGTGGAGTTGGTTCTCATGTATCTTGTAACATGTAAACGCCAATGTGGAGGGGCTCTTGTCCTCATCCTCTTCCTTTAATATATACACACTCGTGCGTATTCGAGAAAAAAATGGTTGCCCTAGGAGGAATTTTGGTACAAGACTAGATTCAGCTCGGCATCGGGGCGCTCTCCTTTTGAAAACCTCGGCATGGTGGTATCCAACAGCCACCGTGCCGGATTTGCAACAGTGGCTTGCTGAGAGTGGCACGATGCAGCAGCCGATGAGGCAACATGCATCTTGATCATGCTGCGCAGCAGAGGCATGCAGATAATTAATTGAACCAAGTCCGCAGCCGCCTCCACGAGAGGTCCTCCAGGAAAAACCTAGCCGGCGCCATCACCTCCGCCTCCACCATAGATTGGGTCCCCCCCTTCAGCGGACTCAGGAGGGGTGGGGGACCGATCTATGAGTGAAGTTCTTAATAATAGTAGTGTTTTCATTAGATTGCTTTAGAATTTTGGTAGTCGTCTTTTTGCTGGAGATGTCATCATCAACAATAAGTAATCTTCGTCCCTTCGTTCGACGACGAGATCTTCTTCTCAACGTCAATGGTGTTGTTGGAAAATTAAATATGTCTAGATATGGTCCTTCTGATCTTGCTTTGCCAGATCGGTTTTGGATTTATTTTCTCTCATGGTCGCCGCGAGGAGGATTGCCCTCGCAATATCTATTCCGGCTGCTACATCCTCGACAATGATGATTCGGACTCTCGGCAACCAGCAACATTCACCCGGATGTTTGGTTTTTTGTCCCTGGAATACCAGTGTTGGCACTCTTGCCAATGTTGGTTGATTACTTTAATGGGTGTGTATGTGCATCGCAGCCTTCGCATTGCGGCTCAAAGTAAAACTATGGAAGAACTCTCTTTGGTATTTACAAATTTATGGTTTGATACCATTGTTATTTTTCCTACGGTTGCCTTCAAAAAAAGTATAAGATTGTGTCATGGAAGAAGAAAGAGTTTAAAGATCTCAAAGTTTGCTCGTCTCTTGTAGACTTTGTTTTGTAATCGCTTAGAACTCATGTATCTCTATCATGTATAATTCGCTACTATAAATATATTATGGTATTGATTGTCAGAAAAAAAAAGAGGCGAGCACTTAAGAAACGTGAGGAACACAGTTTTGCCCTACTACGTTTTAACACTAGTGGCTCAACGTGCATCACACAAACCGCCGTTCGAAATTTTTGGGCCTTTCCATGTGTTGCAGCTGTGGGCGAGCTATGATCGATAATAATACTTTCTTTGTCTTAAAATACTTGAGAAGGAGGGAGTAGTGTGATATTACAGTTTAGCTACACATCAGTCAACTGAGTCAAATTCAGCGTCACTTGATTTTTGAATGAAGGAAGAAGAAGGAAGGAGAAGGGGGGCCTCACCGGAGAGAAGGAAGGGGCCACCGTCATCACCTAGTGTCTATCTTAGGATTCAAGGTGGGGGCGGTGGTGGACGGCGATGGTGGGGGCCGGCGGTGGGGCGCTGGTGTGGGCATTCGCCGGAGAAAAAACTCAGTGCAGGGGGCCCTAGAGGGATGGCCGGGGCGGCGGACGACCAGCGGTAGGGAGTGGTTCTGAGAAGGGCGGGAGGCGAGGCGGCGGGGGCGGCGGTTAGGTCGGTGGTGGCTGGTGGCTTAAGGAAGGAGATGTGTCGAGAAGTTGAAGAAAGATTGTGGACCATTAATTTCGCTTCCAACAGTTTAAGAATCGACTGACCTCGAACTAAAAATTCAGCCGACTGATTTCTAGCCATTCCCACGATATACCGGCTGTGGGCCAATCTTAGCGGATCATAAACTTTGTTCTTGCTTCTGTTTTCTATACTGCTCGCGCTGCACGCTATGAATTGATCACCCAACTGGCAACTGAACGGATTTATTATATTAATCAAACAAATCAAATATGGGTGATGCGGTCAACATCAGTTGCATGATCAGTACAAGAATTAAAGAAATTACATGGCACATGTGCAAATCGGTCGGCCGGCCTGGGAGACGGAGATCACGGCACGGTGGCGCTCATGAATTCATGGTCGGCGACGAGCCTGGCGAGCGCGTCCGGGGCGAGGCACACCTCCAGCGCAATGCTCCCCGCGCCGCACCCGCCCTCGTAAACCGTCGCCTTCCCGGCCAGCTTGCTCCCCCCGCCGCTCCGCACCGCCACCGGCGCGCCCCACCCGAAGTCGTTGCCGTACACGTCGAACCGCGGCGAGCTCCCCGTCATCAGCAGCGCGGGAGCGCCGGCGCCCCGCGCGAGCGCCGGCGGCAACGCGAAGCTGGGCTCCCGGGCCCAGCCCGCGAGCTTCCCCCTCTCGCGCGCCGCGTGGAACGACGCCACGGCCCTGTTCAGCAGCCACGCCGCGCGGCCCAGCCCTTTCTCGAGGATCTCGCCGGCGGTGGAATCGGCCGCGACGTGCGACACTGCGCTGCCAGAGTAGGCCGCCGGCACGCCGTCCACGCGGCCCCGGCATCCGACGAGGAGGACGTACCGCGTGACCTGCTCTGGCGCCAGCCTCCAGGCGCGGCACACCGCGCGCCACAGGTGCGCGAGCACGGCCTGCAGCGAGGATATGGTGGTGCCTGAGCCAGACATCTCGGCGTTCGCCTTCGACACGAGATTCTTCACGCTCTCCCCGGAGAAACGCACGAAGCATTCCTGCACCGGTGGGCGCTGGCCATATGCACGTCGACGCTGCCCCACCATGTCGTCCAGCTTGCCCGAGGGTACAGGGATGGGGACGGCGCAGCCGTCCGGGAACCACCTCTCGAACCCCGGCAACGGCGAGGAGATCTCGCACTGGCAGCCGCCGTCGACTCTACGCCGGCTGAGCTCCGACCAGGTGTTGAACAGGTGCCAGAAGGTGGTCCCGTCGGCCACCCCGTGGTTGAGCGACATGGCAACAAAGACGCCGTCGTCGAGCTCGGTGACCTGAGCGGCCAGCACCGGGCAGGAGCCCGTGGTGGCCTCCGCGCCGAGCACCCCGTTGAGCGGGAAGAACGACCAGACCACACGCGGGATACATAGCGGAGCGGTCACGTCCGCGACGGTGACACCCGGCGCCACGGCGTGCAGGAACTCGGCGCCCTCGTCGCTGCAACGGAGCGAGATGGTTTGGCCGGCTCCGTCCCCGTCTTCGTTGACGGCGAGGCGGCCGGCGAGAGGGTAGAAGCGGCCCAGGGCGCTCGCCAGGGACGACGCGAGGCGGTCCACGACGGGGACGCTGGGTCCCTGTCCTTGGGTGGTTGCGGCGGGGGGCTTGGGCAGGAGCACGCCCTTCTGGATGTAATCCACGGCCAACATCCGGAGATCCCACGGCGTCAGGTGGATGGTCTCCGGCTTATGCTCCGGGGGCCGGCGTATGCTTGGCTCCGGGCGGACCATGCACCGGGACACGATCCGGACATCGCCCATCCTAGCTTGAGCGTGGGGTTGCCCACGCTCAAGTGCTGCCTTTATGATTATACAAGGACTTTCTTAACAGCTGTTTTGGCTAACCAACTTAATTTTAGGCCACTTTGATGCTGGTGGTGCAAAGGTAGTAGTACTAGCAAAAGGCTGGGAAAAAATGGTTGGAAAAGTGAAAATACGAAGGTGAACATGGACGCGCGCCCACTCAGATAGTAAATTCATAAAAAAACTAGGAAAAACTAAAAATTTCTGTAATTTCGTGGTATGAACCTTAGTTGATCATTCTACTCACGTGTGAAGTTTTATGATATACTGACACCCATGGTATTTTTAGTGAAGAAAATACAAATGCGACCACACTATTCATTAAACAATGTTTTTTAATATAGCTTCAATTAGCTTCGAGTTAATTTTGCCCAGATTACCATGGATGTGATTTCTTCGTGAAAAGTGAGTATACCGGTTGACTATCTATACTAAAAAATAAATTCAGTTTTTTTGATTTTTTGTAGCATTTTTTTCAAATTTACTATTCATAAAGGGCATGCACGCACCCATGTTCATCAAATTCGGGTCCTTGAAAAAGCTTGATCAATACCAAATGCATCCTTAAACCAGGATTGCTATTTCACACCTACCAGATGTGATATTGTTAGCTCACATATACATCACTACCATCCGATTAAAGCTTTAAGATTTGTTAGGGTTGTTTGTGCCTTTTTTAGTTTTTCTTTGTGAAAGTGCGTTACGTCGAC